TCTGTGGAGATTAAGTTTGATTCATGCTCAAAACCAAATACATTCTTCATGTATTTTCTTCAATACACCACAAAATCATTAGATCTTCAGTTGCTAGTACAGAAAAATTTTGCAAACATAACTAGATATAAGTGAACAACTGAAGACCTGTAAATTTATTTTAGTCAGGAGCTAATTTCAGCCTTCTGCTATCAAAGTAATAATGTGGGGAGGAGAAAAGTACTTATGAAATAATAATAATAATGATAATAATATATTTATATATAAATAATATGGTTTTATTATCTCTCATTCCCTTGTTAGGAAGCACGGTCATCAGAATGTTATCAAACTGATGATGCTTCATTAACAAAATGGAATTGTAGGAAAAGCTTTAAACACTATCTCTGCCTTATCTTCCCACTGTTAAAGGGCTCAGAAGCTGGCTAATTTCCAAGAGACACTTAAGCAAAGTGTACATGAGTAAGCAATTACTGAGCAAGTAACTTCTCCTGAACTGTGCTGCTTTGAGTGGCAGAAGTGCCCTTGTTACAGCAGGAGACAGAACAGGTCTGTAATGCAGAACTTCTCTGAAAAATCTGTCTGTGGTGTCATACTCATGGCAAACTTTACAGTGCATGAGTAAATGATCAACCTAATTACATTTCCTATATCCATCATAGAAGTCTCATTTTTTCCTTCTCCCATCTGTCTCTGCCCATCTGTTTTCTCTTATGGTTGGCCTGTAAAGTCTTTGGGGCAGGGGTTGTTTTTCATGTCTGTGTACAATATCTAAGGGGATCCTGCTTTACAACTAGGAATTATAAGCAAAATGATAAAATAAATATTTCATAACCAAACTTTCATATGTGAGATACTAAGCTATCAGTAAACTATAAACACTTGAAGACCTGAAAAGGTCAGATTTCAAGCAAATCAAGGGATCCTCTTTAGCATATAGATAACTTCTGATTCTGTTTAACCTGTCCTTATAACCTATGTATTTTTTCTTATGTCAGAAGAGCACAATTCAGCACATAATTGTTCTATCTGTAAGCCTTTCAGAGTCAAGATTGTCGCAGAAGTGTAGGATTATTGTCACCAAGCATTGCTTCAGAAAACGTGGAATGCACAGAAAGCATGGAATGCTCCTTTGGGATTCCTGCCCAGTCTCCTGGCCTCGCCTGTTTGCAGCATTCTGGGCAGGGTGTATTTCCAATGACACGCAGCCTGCTTTGGGTTTTTTGTGAAGACATGTAGATTCTACTCTCTGTCTCAGCAGGTCAGGATTCTGCCTTAAGTCTGGAAGAGTTTCTGTCTCCTAATTTGAGATTATTGAGGTTTCACTGTGACACAAAGGTGTTAGAACAGACCAAGCAACAATCTCCTATTTTCCCGTAGAATATTCTTATTTAAAGAAACAGTGATGTGAAATTCTTAAAAGAGCTCAGATATTATATATTATTTTATATTATATATTAAAAAGATACCTGTGGAAAAGAATTGTGAAAAATGGTAAAAATACCAAATTGCAACTGTGTAGATGAAGAAAACAGAATGCAAGGCTATATTTTTACACATATATCTGTTTTTGATAATTAAATTATTGATATAATAATTGTAAACTGGGTATTTAGGATTAAACCATGCTCTCCTTTAGCTCATCCTTCATTGATTTTTTTGTGTGCATGTGATTTCATAAGGTCAAAAAATTTATCTTGGTGACACATGGAATTCTTCATTTTGGGATTTGCATCATCTGTGCCACCTGCCTCTGTATGTATGCTTATTTGTAAGTACTATAGCAACACTCCTCACTTGTCTGGTTAGAAAGTCATATTTCCCATTGCAGGAGTTTCACACATATTTTCTTTAAAATTTCAGTACTATAAAAGGTGCCAGAGGAAAAGGTTAGGGGTTCATAACAGAAGCAAGAACAATTGGAGCTGTCAGTTTATAACAGTGGCAAACCTGTAGATATCTTTAAAGCCTGACTAATAGAAAACCAGATTATGGACCAGTAAGCAGGAAACCTTAGTCCACAGCAAAGTAATTTTTCTTAGTTTACCCTTTGGTGCAAGATATTTATAACAAGCCAAATTACCTTACTATTAACCTTTTAACTTGGGCATGTCTATAGGAACTCTTTCCATGTCCTTTTCCATAATCCAAATGTGTTGCATGCTCAAGCCCCCGCTCTCTAATGCTATTGACATTTAGTGACTATTAATGGTAATTCTCTGGTTGTAGCAATTGCAAGTATTTTTATAACTTTGTAATTTATCTGAGAACAATATCTATAATTTCTTTATTACACAGCAATGCCATGAAAACTCCATGTCAAAATGTGCTTTGTTGAATCTCTGGAAAGATCTAATATATATTTCCAATCTTAAATGTTTGAGTTGTTTCTACAAGAAGCACAGGAGAGGTTTCTCTTAAATGCTTTCTCAAGTGGAGAGATGCCTTCCATGATGTACATCAGAGTCCTGATCCCCTGGTATTGCAGTACACAGAACGTGACCTGGTGTATTTTCCATTCCACTCTGGCTTTCCTCCCAGTGGAAAGCAGCATGCACCCAGCAGGGCTTCACACCCACCTTTGCTTCAATGAGCCATCAAGAAAAGGCAACAATTCAGACAGCAGGGATTCAACCCACAGGGATTCCTTGACACTTAGTACATGGTGAGATGTTCTGCCTTTCCCACTTCTGCCTTGGAAGCCTTTAAGCGCCTTAAGTTATATAAAATTTAAAAACTACTCTAACCAAGGAAGGACTCTAGCCAGACATTGCTTTAAACAAGCAAAGTAAAATATTTCCAAGTAATGCCAACAAAAGACAACTGCAGCTCCTAAAGGAGAAAAGAAAATATTTTGTTACAATTCTTTAAAATTACAAGGAGCAATAACATAGTATAGTCAGGAAAAAGAAAAAAAAAAAGAAAGAAAGAAACTGTCAGGAAAAAAAATAATAATTTCTAGGAAATTTTAATCTGAAGATATTTAGGGTCATAAAAGAGGATTTTAGCTATTCCCAGTTTGGTATACATGAATAAGGTAAATAAGTGAAAATAGAGATACAACAAAAGGCCATTTTTCCTCTGTGTGTGGAAGGGACAGATCATTGTATTGAAGAGAACCTTGTTAGTAACATAAAACAAGGGAAATAGATTCACAATTTTTGATACGTAAATTTCACCACCGTCCCCAAACTCTTATCACAAAAGATATTTATTATATATTTAAAACAAAAAAGTGACTTTTTTTTTCCTTTAACACTGGTCATACTTTTGCAGGTGGGTCTTTATAATGCATATGGGATTCTATTTCCTTGTATAACCCACCTGCTTTTCTGTAAGTACATAGGAGGTAAATTATAATGGACATATTTTGTGGAAAAAAAACACCAAACAAACACAAAAAAAAAAACCAAAAAAAAACCCGACAAACCATAAAAAACTAAAACCAAAAAACCTCAAAATCTCCAAACCAAACAGTAGAATAGATGAGTTTTAATGTAATCAGAAAAAAATTTATACTTTATTCCATTTATATTTTATTGCATTTTCTCCTTTATATTCCATGTAAATACAAAACATCAGCTGGTGAACTGTACTTTTCAGAGAGAAAAATACAGTTATATTTAGGCATGTGTATTTTTTACTTAGTTGCTTGTAAAGAAAACCCTCAAACATAATTTTATTTCTTCTTTAAGAAAGAGAGGCGGAACTAAAAACTATAATTTCCTACCATATTTTTATGGTCTTTACTTGTTTTAATTTTAGAAAGGGAAATAGTTCCTACCATGCTTATACAGGTGACTTTTCAGCTTATAAATAATGATATATAAATGATTAAGGATAAAATAAGCAATTTAAAGTTATTCTTTCTGCATCTGACTCTCTGGAACTCTGATTTTTGTCACAGTGTATGCCATCCTTGTTAACCACGACAGAGACTAACCAGTGACTCAAAAGGAATCAACACTTTAATAATTAATGCAAGATGCTGAAGACATAAACCAATTGTGAATAATTCATTTCACTTCAGTTCATGATTTGTTGATGAATAATCATGAAATATCTGGAATTAATTAGCTAATGAATGTTTATGAATAACAATTACCTTTGTTTGTTTCATGATTTCATGTCTGTTTAGACTACTTCAGAGGAAATAAAAAACCATGAACATGTGAAGAGGAATTCTGAAGAAAGATGGATGACAAAGATTTGTGATTACTTCCAGAATGTTATATCAGAAGTGACAAAAGATTAGCAGTCTATCAGTTCACTTCTCTGAGGTGATTATGTGAAAAGAAATATAAAAAAATAGGCCATAGTAAAGCAATTTACAGCTACGGAAAACCCCAGCTTAATGCCCTGATTGTTAATGTATTTGTACCATTACAAATTTTAATTGAGTAATCTATCATGAAAACTTTATTGCATGTATGACAGCAACCGTAAAATTAAAGGTAAAGGTTTCAAGGATGTGAAACTGAATTTCTAGAAGACAAACTACTTTGGATGTAAGGTATATCTGTGTGTCATTTCGTTGCTTAGCTCACTGTCATTCATGTCAGGGAAATACTATTTGTTTGAAGCTATACTAAACAATTCACATCTTTTCATGTCATGTACTTGTAAATAATTTTAAATGTCTTTTTAAAAAATTCTGCCATTTTTTCCATTGCATAAATGTTTTCTTTAATTACATAGAATTATGTAAATTCCTTTAACAGCAGTTAAGGTCAGAAAATCTGTTTACATTTCATAGGTTATCTGGCTGCACATCCTCTAAGAAAATGGAAACAAAATCTAATCCTCCAACAATTTAAAGAATTTTTTTGCGGTCTCACAAAGTGTTTATTTAGGAGATGAAACATAAATCACTGATGAAAGCATAAATTAACTTTAAAAAAAGTGCTTTCCATATGAACCTGTGAAAAATTAAGTTTGATACCTCAGGATCTGAAAAAAGCTGTATAGTGTGTTCCTAAGCCATGGACTCTTTCTTTCAGAAGGATAAAATAGCAGGATTAATGAAGAGCTTAATGATCTCCTGCTGTGATGAAGTCCAGGAAGTAGCTGCTGTAGAAGGCGATGTTCTGGTACCAGCTGAGGAGCATTTGTGGAGGAGTCATGGAAGGTATTATTGCAGGGCAGGCAGATGACTTAGGAAGGTCATAGGGAAGAGGAAAGAGTGGTTGCTAATGTCTAATTCAGATTTTGGTCTTCTTTCAGAGAGAGGAGGTGTTTGGACTGATTCAGATTACTCCTGAAGGCAAGCAGTGGCAAGGATGCCAGGACTTAAGGCATCTTAGATTTCTGTATAACTTAGAGTTACCTGTAATTTCCTGCCTCTCTGGGACAGAAGAGTTATTAAAAGCAGTATGCCAATGGCTTCAGATACTGATATTGCCAGATGTTCTTCAAACCAGGGTACAGAGTCTCTTACTGATGGTATAGATTTATACCTCTCTGATGCTTTTGGATGTGACCAGCAGCTGCAGATCTCAAGAAGATATGTGGTGCATCTTTTGAATTATAGACTTATACCTCTCTGATGCTTTTGGATGTGACCAGCAGCTGCAGATCTCAAGAAGATATATGGTGCATCTTTTGCAAAAATCAGGTACTGTTGCTGTAGTTTAACCATGATAAATAAAAAAGATCACTGACATGAACTGAGCAGTGCAGAAGTGCTGTGGGTACTGACTGTCCTTTTCTGCCTGTGTACCAGAGTTGGAAGAACTTTTTTGCAGCTTACTGCTGTCTAAATTGTCTTTTTTTTTTGTTTCATTTGGTGGTGGAGATTATTTATTCTTTTAAAACATAGAGAAAAAGAAAAAAAAATACAACCCGTTTAACTTAAACTTTGGCATGTCAAAATCTATAATGTTGCACTAATAATACTTGAAACTAAATTCCTTGTTATATTGCTTTAATAAGTACTTCAGTATACATAGTATATATTGAGCACTTATTAACTCATCTTTTACTGATGTCTTAAGTTAGTTTCAAAGTTGTCTTGAAGACAGTTGAAGTTTAAAGACTTATATATATATTCTGTATAACCTGTAGAGCACTGCTTTAGGGTTGGGTTTCTTATAGGTAAAATTAGTTCTCATTTTATGGCCAAAATGAATAGAGATAAAGAAAAACTGAGACAAATTTTGAGCTTGGAAAATGAGGGAAGTAGAATCTGTGGGTGAAGGACCATCCAGCCAATTGATATGCTAAATATCACTTTAGGTAATTTAGTCCAGTTCAAGAGTCTCTATTCCTGGGCCAGAATTTAAAGGACTTGAACATTTGAGATTGTTGTTAGAGACTTATCAGTGCTTCAGAATCCTACTAGACTCTTATTTGTGGTTATCTGTAAAAACTCCATCAGGTAAAATAAACTGCACCAAAGTGTTTGCATTGTTTAGCCAAACCCCTGAGGAAAATCCCTTTGAAGAGTGGATGGCTACAGGAGGACTAAAAGAAGGCTTAGGAGGAGACCTTCAAAGGAGCTTTGCTTTTCCACTGTAACAGTAATTTAGAAGTAATTAAGTTATGTACTAGCAGAAAAATAGGCATATGCTGTGAAAATTGCTTATTGCCCTGGTTGTACCTGCCTCTTTTCTATCCTTGGCACCTTTCTTAATAGCTTTTCTTTGTCAAATATATTTGTTTCTCTTATCCTGAGGCTGCAAACTGTGTGTCACAGAATGGTCTCTTTATAGTTGTATGCTGCAAATTTAATATGATTTGAATCATACTCTAGAGGTCAGTTCAAACACATTTTAGATAAAAACTGTCAAAAGTTGTTTTGTTTTTTTCCTAAAACTCAACTTTCTGGAAGATTGATTTCAATGTAGTTATTCTTGAGTACATTTGTCACAGAAGAATTTGCTTTTCTTTATTAATACTTCCTGGTAAATCGTGCATGTGTAACTGATCAGTCACGTCTCATGACTTTCCACTGTGGTTTGTGGTTTCTTCGTTAGCTTTTTTGGTTTGGTTGGGTTTTTTGGTGTTTTTTTTTTTTTTTTTCTAATCAGCGAATTGTTCTGAACTGAGACCAAATGAGTGGAGGTCTCAGGTGAAATGGGTCGGTTGAATCCTTTTCAGTGCACTCAAACCCTTGGCACAAGGTTCAAATAAATATTCATGATAGCAACACTGAAGTGCTGCAAGTATCCCTCCACAGTCACTGGTCAAGGTTTCCATGTTCTTTTTGGTCTGTAGTGTAGGCCATAGCTCCTCCACTGGAGAGAGGCTACAGAGGGAAAATGTACTGTCATGTGGTAAGCAATGTCAGTACTGAGGTAGTTACAACAGCCTGTTGAGGACAAATATTGCATATTTGGCTGAATATGTATAAGTATTTTAGCCCAGGTGTCTGTAATCTCCAGATGCCAACAGGGAAAAAAAAAACCAAAAAACAAAAAACCCCGAGAAAAAAAGAAAAAAAGAGGGAAAAAATATGATGTAGCTTTGGATTGAAGAAACTTCCAGATATGGCTTCAATAGAAGTGTTTTTAATGAGATAAGCATGAAAAATGAAGGAATATACATACAGGGAGCATATGCGAGGAGTACAGGTTGTGTGTCACAAATATAGTTACCACAAAAAGAACAATACTATCTCTGGATATTTTGCCTATTTAAACTATTCAGGGCTGTCAAAAGGCACAAGTCTGTGTTTCTAGTGCAAAAATAGCATTGTAGTAATTTTCTCCTGACCTGACACCACCGCTCTCATGCCCCCCAGGAATCAATAACACGGTGTCCAGCAGAGAGGGAATATTACTGAATATTATCTGTCTGAGGCTCAGACTTGTCTTTATCTCCTTTAGATAAATTAATAACCTGTCTCATATTTCTTTCTGTAACTGCAAAGTGCAGTTGGAACTCAACACAAACTTACTGTGGAGTTGCTGCTGATTGTTACAGGTTACATTTCCAGCCTGGGGGGGAAGGATATGGGAAAGACACTGTCTTACTCAAATTAAGACCTTATCCCTGTCACCTTGTTTGTCAGCAGCTGAACTTTCTTGTGAAGCAGGGAAGTGTATCCTTCTGTTAGTTTAAACTGGTACATATGTCTGCCTGCTTTTTAAAAGGAATTTCACGCTGAGAGTACATGCTGAAAATGCTCATAAAATTCAGTGGCTTGCTGGGCAGGGTGAAGATGTTAAATTTAACTTACTTGAAATTTTTAAGACTTTGGCACTGCAAAATATTAGACAGCAGAGATAATGTAACATTAAGTGCTGTTAGGACAGCTAATATATTGTATTCTGTGGCTTCTTTATATATCTGTATAACTTCAACTTAGCAACACTTCTTGTGAAATTTATGGATAGTTCCTCAGGGTGAGACCTACAGAATGTTAAGCTACCAGTGATCTTCAACATTGTGCATATATGTGGTTAGAAATACATAATGTTGATTGTTGACCTTTTTTAAAGTCTCTTCCTCTGAGGAAGTGTCTTTTGTAGTGCTTAGCAGCCCAAGTTGTGACTGTTGGGGTGCAATGGAGATTTTGATGCAAGACAAATGAAATCAGATGAATGCTATTGAAACACCCTAGAGGCTGGTTAATTTTATAATCTAACAATTTGAGACTCTGTTAGGGATCACCAAGATTCTTAATAATACACTGGAATTCTGTGTGTGAATTTACATTTTACTGGAATTATATAAAATGCTTTAAAAGTCAAGTCTTAAACTTAGAGGTCACTATTTTCTGCGGGATTTCTCAAAGGAGATTAAAGATTGAGTCTATTTTACTCCTTGTTTTACAGGCTACTTATCTGCTGGTAACTGAAACTTCACTTCCTTTGTAAAGGCCTAGAGAAATGCTTGATTTAAGTGTGGTTCAGGTTTGGCTCTTGTTTGGTAGGGGTTTATGGCTGTTTCTCCATTATTGGCAACTCTTTTTCTCTTAAGTACCCAAGGAAATTAGCTAAAAGGAAAATAAAAGAGTATGATGACAAAGGAAGAGATGATGAGCTATAGGGCAAAGCACTGAGTATTTTTCCCTGTTTAAGGACTGTAAATTATCAAATGTTTGGGGTTTTTTTATGCATCAAATACTAGAAACACTGAATTTTTTAAAGTACATCAGTGGAAATGCTGATATCTGAAAAGAAAAGATTCTCTTGTTTTGCTAGGTATATATGATACAGAAATGCAAAAAAAAAGTATGCAAATAAAGCTTAGCAGGGAGCAAAAATTGTTGAGGAAATATAAGAGCCATATTTTACAAAAACAGTGTCTTGCCTGCTAGTTTTGTCATAGGCTCTCCTTCTTAACATCTCACCAAATATACATAGTCTATAGACATTATTAATAAACATGAAGATATCATAGCAGAGAGGCTTCACTGAAGCTATAGAAGAAGTTTCATGGGCCATACTTGCACAACAAAAAAAGAGAATCTTTACGTTTTGTTCACTTCAATGAAAATTTAAACAAATGGGATGTTAGAGTTTTATGGGGAGTTTGGGTTTTTGGGTTCTGTAGTGTGTTTCTGGATTTTTTTCCCCCTGATTTCTCCTCTATCAGGAAACAGGTGATAACAACAAAAGCAGAGTCAGTGTTGGACTTGATGGGAAACAGTGATAGATGTGGCAACGAAGCCTTGAAAGAAATCTGAACATTATTTTAGTGTTTTTAAATAGGAGTAACACCTTGGGAATAAGTTATATACTAAGGGGATTGATGTTCAGGTACACTATCTTGACCCTAGAAATCTTCTTTTCCAGATCTTTTTGTCCTTATAAAAAGCTGCAAGTGAGTGCAAATAGGCTGCCAATAAGAATTCATGATCCTTTGTCTGGTGAAACTGCTATAAGCATAATTTCCTAAAATGCAAACCTCTGTTATCATCCAGGTACAGGAAAATACTTGTAGCTGAAATTCTTACAATTCTTGTGCCCTTTCCCAGCCCTTACTGAGTAATTCTTACTTTTAAAAGGAATAAATTTTTATTCTATAGTATTTCTAAAAGGGTTTTTATGTTTGTGGGTTTTGCTATGGAAACGTAATTATGGTTTTTTTCCTTATGACTCTATTTTGAGGTTAACATAAAGTCATATTTGAGTTGGAAAACGGGGTCAACTTGTCACAAGTGAATCTGGTTTCTTAATTTTTTCTGCCAAAATCTTTCACTAGAAAAGTTTTTTGTTTGTTTTAAAATTATCTTCATGCTACCTCCTCAAACTCCTACATCCTAACCCTTACTTCTGGAGTGTAATGAAATTAACCACTTTCAAGAGGAAAGTAGTGGAAAGCACAGCAAAATGACAACAGTCTTGATGAAGAAAAATCATATGGTGTGCCCAGACAGTGTTTAGCTTGATGCCAGATTACACAATAAACCCTTTGCCCTCTAGTTTTAAACTTGCTGTTTTGATGTCAGTGTAGTGTCTGCTTTCTGGAAAGCATAAAGCAGAGGTTTTTTATTAGTTTGTCTTTACTGCGGTTGCTAGTAGAGGCTATCATTCTGGAG